GGAGATATGGTTATTTCATGGCATTTGACAAAGTAAACTATAGTTGCTACTTCTTTTAACCATGTAGAAATTTTAGCAACTCATAAGGCAAGTTGTGAATGTATCTGATTAAGATCTATCACTTAACATATTTGAGAAATGTGTGACTTGTCAACAAAGAAGAAAATTCCAACAACGTTATATGAGGATGATACAGTGAAAGAAAGGATACATTAAAGGTAATAGGACAACAAATAGTTAGCCAAAAATTCTTCTTCACTTATGATCTCCAAGAAAAAGGTGAAATTAGTGTTTAAGAAATTTAGTCAAGTGACAATCTACTAGATTGGTTCACCAAAGCCCTTCTTACTACAACATTTGAAAAGTTAGTATAAAATATTGGAATACATCATTTTAAGGATTTCTATAATGCATTCATCAAGGGGAATAAAATACACACTGTACTCTTTTCCTTTATCAAGGTTTTTCCTACTAGATTTTTCTTAATAAGGTTTTTAATGAGACAATATTTCAAAAGCATATTCTTAAAAAAATTATGTACTCTTTTTCCTTCACTTGAATTCTTTTTTCATGAGGTTTTTTTCTTGTAAGATTTTAACAAGCCATATTCTCAATGCAATGGACATTCAAGGGGAAGTGTTATGAACAAATATATGAATGTTCATTATGTTATGACCCAAGAAGTGCAAACCAAGTTAAACAGCATAATAAGCAAGATACAAGAAATGTAATATAATTTAAACTCTTAGATAGAATTAGTTTAGAATTATGATTTAAGGGGTTGCTGACTTATTCACTTCATTTGTAAATACACACTTGAATAAGATCTTCTTACTCTTTCTAAATACTCTCTTTCTTCTAAGTACTTGTTCTTATATTTCTCTTATAGTTGTTCTTTTTAGATTTATTTCATAACAAGTGATAAATTTATTGAAGATTTTTAGTTGAATAAAATTTTTTAAAATTAAAAAGAAAAGTATCAAGAAGGTTTTTCAAAATGTCAATATAAATGTTCCCTTTTATTATTAAATAAAAAATTCAAAATATTAAATAATAATAATAATAATAAATAAATAACAAGTTAGATGTTTTGACCATTGTTCCTTCATTCAATAACTATGTTCAATAACAATTTGAACTTAAAATTAAATGCATAAGGTCAGATAATGGTTTGTAGTTCTGATTTTATACTAAAATTGGCATAATACATCATTTATCTTGTGTGGATATGCCTTAACAAAATGGAATAGTTGAAAGGAAACATCAACATATTCTAATTGTTATTAGTGCCCTAATGCACCAATCTAATGTGCTTGTATACTTCTAGGGGGATGTAATACTCATTGCAGTTCATATCATTAACAGAATGCCTACCAAAGTGCTTCAAAATAAATCACCTTTTGAGCTGATGTTCTAAAAATTACCTACATATGAACACCTAAAGGTATTCGGTTGTCTATGTTTTGTATCAACACTGCCTCAACATAGGAAAAAGTTAGACAAAAGAGCTTCAAAATGTGTCTTTCTAGGATATCCAAATTACATGAAAGGGTACAAGGTATATGATCGTAGTGCATAAAAGATTCTAGTATCTAGAATTATTGTTTTTCATGAAGAAATATTTTCATTTCAGTCTATGTAGCATGGTATACAGGAAAATGTATTTTCTCAAACACCTAATTTGTATACTAAATATCTTGATATTTTTTATTCATATTCTGAAAAATTTCAAAAACAAAATCAAGTACCTGTTGAGAATCATGCACCTTCACCTATGCCAAGTCCACAAACACCTATTACATCACCCTCGAGTGAGTTGGCACATGATTCACCTGTGACAGTCATTATGCCTACTGCAGCTAACTTAATATCTGATGCAAATGACAATGAAATTGATGATAGAAATACAAATTTGCTAATTAGGAGAAGTACTAGACTTAAACATATTCCTAAATACTTAGAAGCTTATGATGTTGACCTACCATCACATTCAAACATTGTCACTGCACATCCTATATCCAAATACTTATCTGCTGATAAACTCTCATCAGAACAGAAAGCATTTACTGTATCATTGTCAAAAATTCATGAGCCAAGCACTTACCTTCAAGTAGTTAATCATTCTCATTGTAAAGATGTGATGGTAGTTGAACTAATAGTTCTGCAAGACAATGGCACATGGAGTATTATACCTTAGCCTGCAAATTCTCATGTGATAGGATGTAAACGGGTCTATAAAGTGAAACTAAATGAACATGACAAAGTTGAGAGATATAAAGCTCGACTGGTAGTCAAATTACAGGGTTTGACTATCAAGAAACTTTCAGTCCAGTGGCTAAGCAAACTACTATTAGGGTGTTCTTTGCCTTAGTTGCAGTGCACAACTGGTCATTGTCACAACTTGATGTGAATAATGAATTTTTAAATGGTGATTTACAAGAGGAAGTATACATGGAAATTCCACAAGGGTACACTGTCTAGGGGGAGTGTCCTAAAACAACCAGATTAGCTTGTAGATTGCATAAATCCTTGTATGGTCTCAAGCAGGCATCTAGACAATGAAATGCTAAATTTATGTCATTAGTTCTTCAATATGGTTTTCATCAATCATCGACAGATCACTCTTTTTTCACTATGAAAGGAAATGATGGAAGTTTTACTGCTTTACTACTATATGTAAATGATATACTGATTGGAAGTACATCTACTCAAGCAGCAAGAGATGTAAAGCTATATCTAAGCTCACAGTTCAAATTAAAGGATCTTGGAAATGTGAGATAGTTTTTGGGATTAGAGATTAATAGGTTAGTTGAGGGTATTACTATTTCACAGAGAAAATATGCTTTGGACCTCCAGGAAGAATATGGGCTCTTAGGAGCTAAACCAGTTTCTACCCCAATTGACTACAATCACAATTTGCACAAGGTATAAAAGGAAGATGAACTGGTCAATCCTACAATTTACACGCAATTGGTAGGAAAGTTACTTTATCTAACCTTTAGCAAAGCAGATATATATTATGCAGTTCAAGTATTGACTCAATACATGGACAAGCCTGGTAAACAACACTTCACAGTAGCACCAAGCATATTAAAATATCTGAAAGGATCACCAGGGCAAGGAATTCAGATGAAGTCTGCATCAAACTTGAAACTATTAGTTTACTATGATAGTGATTGGGCAAGTTGTTCAGATTCTAGAAGATCAATCACTGGATTCAGTATTTTCATTGGAGAATCACTCATAAGCTGGAGATCTAATAAACAATCGATAGTGGCTAGAAGTTCTGTTGAAGCTTAGTACTATTCAATGGCTTCAACATGTTGTGAGTTATTTGGTTAAAGTATTTACTATCTGATTTTGGAATTAGCCATGATGATGCAATTGTTCTTTACTCAGATAGTCAATCAGTGATTCACATAAGCAAAAATCCAATGTTTCATGAGAAGACTAAACACATCGAGATGGACTGTCATTTTGTTAGAGAAAAGGTGTTAGCAGGTACAATCAAGCTAGTCCATATATCCACTAATCTTCAGTTAGCTGATATCTTTACTCAAGCCTTACAACCGAGGCAGTTTCACAATCTACTAAGCAAGATGAATGTTCTCAACGATCACATATCCTCTTGAGGGGAAGTATTAGAAGTATTCAGAATGAATAAGTTCAAGATTTCATGGAAGAACTCTGCACCAGGCTAATGACTATCGGACTAAAGGAGGAACAAAAAAGCTTGGGAGCAAGAAGACACTAAAAAGCAGAGTTTAAATAAAAGACAAGGAATACCACCCAAATGTTGTGTATTAGGCTCTGCTAAGAAGCAATAAATTAATGAGCAATGCATCATTTTGTATATATATAATCATTGTTTTTAAAAGTTAGTTAGGTTGGTTATGGTGTAATTAATTTATTTTCTTCTTTACTTAACTTTTAAGCCCCTATATATATAGCTCATTTATCGAGCCTTGATGATGAAAGAATTCAGAAGCATTCTCTCATTCTTTTCAACGCCGCTTGTCTTTTCTCTGCCTTGTAATATTCTTCTTTGACACCAACTCATAAAAACATTGCCTAAACCGCTCACCTCCTTCACCACCTAAAACCAAAAGCGATAACATAGTAAAAACCAAAGGCAAAAAGAATACAAAAGACATCTCCTTCTACGAACCAAACCTTTAATTCAAAAAACCCTAATGACAAACCACCCTTAATCCACAAAACCCCAAGAAAAAACCACCAAAAACAAAGGAACGAACTAAAAATCGTACATGTGGCACAGACTAAACAATCTGAGTGACACGATGAAACGGAAGTAACACAAAAGACAAAAAACAACCAACAATAATAATGAAAAAAAAAAACTAACACCATAATAGAAAATGACACCGTTTGGGGCCAGACGGAAGAAAAAAAACCCAACTTTATCAAAATGACGTCATTTTGAGGGACATGAGAGAAAAAACAGAATAATATTCCCAATCGAATGACAAATGTCACGCATTCATTAGCCAATTGCAATACTAACAAATGGAGCTACTTTTATATATAGTAATAGGTATATATAATTTATGTAACAGAAATTATATATATAAAATAAAATTCGACTTGCGTTATTATTATTATTATTATTATGATTGATTTTGTCTCTCTTCTTTTGACGAGGAAAAAAAAAAACAGAGCTAGACAAAAACATTTTGTTGTAGAATGACACCGATTTTGCTTTTTGTCAAAATTACTAGAAAAGAAAAGGAAAAGATTGATTGTACTGTACTTACATGAAAGTTAAAAGTGTATTTACAAATTGTGACCAACGATTTTGGAGAAATTGGATACATTCTGCACTTCTACTTTGTTCAAACTCGAAGGTACTAAAATTCCTATTTAAGAGAAAGTACAGCATGTACTTCAATGCTTTGTGACGGGCCCATGTCCACGCCCACTTCAAGTTCAATCCCACTTGGGTTGACCCGATACAAACCCGAATTCGACTTCCGTGCTTTATGGCTAAGAATCGGACCCAGTATCTCCTCCATGGAAGCAACGAATCAGCCGGTCCTGGTCCACTTTCTCCCTCTGCTCAATCCAATACGGAACTTTAAAATTCCCAATATACCCTCCTTTCCATATCAGATTTCCCTCTCCTCCCAAATCTTCCATGGCTTGACCCGAAATCCCAACCCAAATGGACTCTCAGCAAAGTCTTCCTCCACTCTCGACTCTATCCACCTCAGCCTCCGCCATCCTGAACTCTAAACTCGGCACCGACCACGACCTAACTCGAGCACCGAGTCTCGTTTCCTACTTGCTGACTCAGTGCGATGATCTGGACCGAGCCCTAATCCACCTCAATCGTACCCTCGAATCAAGCTTAGCATCTTACGCTTCCTTCTCCGATCGCATCGGCGACCTTTTCCGCGATGTAAATTCGAAGTTGACCGATCTCGGATGCTCCGTTTGTTCTCGGAGCTCCGTTTCAGGTTCGAATCAACGCAAACTTTTTATTTTTTACATTGATTTTGTGTATTTTTGTTGGAAAGTTTAGTGGTGTTTGGAATTTGTGCGTGGAGAGCATTAATTTTATTTCATTATTTTTCTTTGCGGAAAATGATGTGTTATAGATGAGGAAGGATTGGGAGAGGAGCTGCCGGCATTGGCGAAGGAGGTGGCGAGGGTGGAAACGGTTAGAGCATACGCGGGTGAGGGTTCTAAAAGATCATAGCTTGTTGGAATTCTGAAATGCTCATTGAATTTAGCGCTACATTTTAATCTCTTTAGATGACTTATGAATTATAACTATTGTTTATGTTGTTCTGATATTTCAGTAGTTGTGTTTCAACATAAAAGAGAGGTGATTTTGCTGTTCAATGGTTGAAATTATGGTAAACTTTGGTCCTTTTACCAATCATTAAAAATAATTTCTCACTTCTCTTCTAGTAAATATGTTATATGAAGCAATAAGGCATTGTCAAAAGGGCAAGGGGGAGGTCCTATAAACTTTAGTTCCTAGGTTCAAGTCCTACCGTCTGTGCCTTTCTCCTAACTTTATGATGGTTCGCTAGTTTGATTGTTTGGCTTGTTTATTAGTTTCTTCTGCTGGATGTTTGTCAAAAATTGTTTCATTATAATTGTAATTTCTATTGATACATGTAATTTCATTAGAAAAAAAAAAGAAAGAAGAGTTCCACAGGAATAGTGGAACAGCTTGATTTGATGTTGCTTTTTATTAGGACTTTAATCATGGTGATCCAAGCCTCAAAAACTCTTGTAATTCAAGAAATTGTCCCCTATTTCTTGTGGACCCTTTCTGGCCTTAAGATTAATCGAAGCCTCAAAGCTCAAGGAATTCAAGCTATTGGTTCCCTGGACTACATCACTTAGGGTTTGCTTTTGCTGTGACTTCTTAGTTATTTTTTCTAAAATAATTTGCTAATATTCTCTGAATATTGTATTTGCAATTGCTGTGATCTCTGTTTCTTTTGGGTCTGTCAACGGTGCTCTATTGTTTTAGCCACCAGTGGCACATCTGCTTATATCTATCTTGCAGCACAATATAGCAATTGGGGTAATTGGGAAAAATCATATAATGGTGGCATAGGTTGTAGTCTTATTTGTCCAGTCGCCTCATAGAATCCATATGTATAATAGATTGAGCACTTTGCTGCTTTTAGAGTTGTTATGCCATTAATGGACCTTTTGCCACTAAGAGCTTGGTTAGGATGGTCTAGTAATATAGATATCACTATTGCAGCTGCTGATTCAGATCTGCTGATCGCTTTCTTTCAATGAAAATGGTATTAATTGCAGTGAATATTAGCATTTGTTTATATAAACCAGGTAGCCTTGTTTTTCCCTTAATGTTGTTGGTGTTTCAATTTCATATACAGAGGTGCTTATCCAGGGCTACATTCACCTTACTTTAATATGGCTGTTTGATCTTTGATTATCTGTGTTGTGGGCATCATTTGTGAACTATTGCAGAATCTAGGGTCATTTACACATTTGGTACCCGAACTATTGTGAAATCTCGGTTTCGTACCTAAGGAAATAAATTGGCAATTAAGTACCCCCAAGATGCATATGTCACTAACTCTGTTAGCCAAATGGTAACGTTGCAAAAGACAACCAATAGGAGTTAGACATGTGGTATATTAGTATTGGCTATTTTTTTGCCACATCACCCCTTTGACTTGCAGAGTTAGTTTTAGGTGCAGACTATTTAATGGGAGCAAACTTTGAGTACTTAATTGTGAATTTTTAAAATTTAGCTACCAAATCAAACATTTATTTATAGTTTAGGTAGAAATGTGTAATTAACCCTAGAATCTATGTAACACACGATCATGTCTTGTCCCTTATTGATTTATATTCTATGCATTATGATATGACGTTGTTTGATAATTGTCCAAATACAGACTCCTTCTAGATTTAAAAACCTTGAGGCTAGTTATTATAGTGAAGTGGTACATAATGTTTGGTTCAATGAAGTTAATTATCTTTGTGCAGTGTTAACTACAGATGCTCATTGTTCCTGTTAAGAAGTTTCTTCCCGCTAGGTTCTTTCTTGCTTTTAGAGTTCAAAATGACATAACCTTATGCTAAAGACTTGACCTTTTCTTCATGAAATTGGATGAAGAGGATTTCTTTGATTGGAAAAGAAACTAATTAGCAAGATCTTCAAAATAGTGTAGCTAAATCTTTCTTTTGTTTTTAGTTTTAGTTAGTTTTTTTCCTTCTGTTGCCTGGGTATAGAATTGTGATCTAAATACTCTCTTTGTTTTTCCTTGAAAACTTTCCTTTATCTCTCAGAGATAGCGTCAAAGCTTGATAATTTAGTTGGTGATATTGAAGATGCTGTCTCTTCTACTATGAACAAAAATTTAAGAAACGATCCTTCTACACGGAATTCAGAAGTAAGCACCTCCATTAGAAAAAAAAATGATGTTCTTATGGAAATTATTTTCTTACGGAAATCTTTTTCTTTCTTAATGTTGCAGGAATTACACCTGGTGGCTATTAAAACACTTAAACTGACAGAAGACTTATTAGGTTCAGTCACAAAGACACGCCCTCAATGGGTACGTCTAGTCTCAGCTGTTGATCACAGAGTAGATCGAGCTCTAGCGATATTACGACCCCTGGCAATTGCAGATCATCGGGCCCTTCTCACATCCCTTAGATGGCCACCACCCCTTTCTAATTTGACTTCCTCAAGTTTGGATACAAGGAAATCAAATGAGGTCCCAAATCCTCTTTTTACGATGCAAGGTAATCTCAAGCACCAGTACTGTGAAAACTTTCTTGCCCTGTGCCACCTGCAGGAGTTGCAGAGACAAAGAAAATCCCGGCAACTTGAGGGCCATAATCGGGAGGTTGCTCTTCACCAACCACTTTGGGCAATAGAAGAGCTTGTCAATCCTGTATCTGTTGCATCCCAACGCCATTTTTCAAAATGGATTGATAAGCCAGAATTCATTTTTGCTCTGGTGTATAAAATCACACGGGATTATGTTGATTCTATGGATGAGTTATTGCAACCATTGGTTGATGAAGCAATGCTAACTGGGTACAGTTGTAGAGAAGAATGGATTTCAGCAATGGTAGCCTCCTTATCAACATACTTGGCAAAAGAGATATTCCCCATTTATGCCGGTCAACTGGAGGAAGAGAGTATGACTGGAATTCGGTCACAGGCTAGGACATCTTGGCTCCATCTTGTTGACTTGATGGTCTCTTTTGACAAAAGAATAAAGTCTCTTGTAGAACAGTCTGGGATCTTGCTTTCCCTTCAGGAAGATGGGACCCTTCAGATTTCATCTCTATCTGTCTTCTGTGATCGACCTGAGTGGCTTGATTTATGGGCAGAAATAGAGCTAGCTGAAACACTGGAGAAACTAAAATCAGAGATGGATGAAGAAAAAAACTGGACTAAGAAAGTTCAAGGGGCAGTTCTCCCTAATTCTGATGATTATAAATCTCCTGCAGTTGGCAGCAGCATTTTTCGGTGTTTATCATCTTTGATTGACAGATGTCGATCATTGCCTACGGTTTCTTTGAGGTCAAGGTTTTTGAGATTAGCTGGTACACCACTTGTAAAAAGGTTTTTGGATTGCTTGCTTCTCAGATGCCAAGAAGCTGAAGGGTTGACTGCCTTAACAGACGATGATGCCCTAATCAAAGTGACAAACTCCATTAATGCAGCTCACTTTGCTGAATCTATTTTAAAAGAATGGTGTGAGGATGTTTTTTTCCTTGAGATGGGATTGGAGCAAGGTGATCAACTTGGAGCATCTGTTACTGAAAATAGTGGTAGTGAGATCCCAATTGAAGAGTATGGAAATGGTATTTTCCATACGGAGATTGTTAGGTTTGAGGATTTCAGAACTGAGTGGGTTGAGAAGATATCAGTTGTTGTTTTGAGAGGGTTTGATGCTCGATGCAGAGATTACATTAAAAACAGGAGGCAATGGCAGGAAAAGAGTGAAGGTTGGACGGTATCCAAGACATTGGTTGGGGCACTGGATTATTTGCAGGGGAAAATGTCAGTAATAGAAGAGAATTTAAACAGGCTAGACTTTACTGGGATCTGGAGGAGTCTGGCAGCCGGGGTGGATCGATTAATTTTTAATGGCATTCTTATTAGCAATGTGAAGTTTCATGATAACGGAGTGGAGAGATTTGGGTATGATTTGGAGGTCCTATTTGGAGTTTTCAGGGCTTGGTGTTTGAGGCCTGAAGGTTTCTTCCCTAAAGCAAGTGAAGGCTTGAAGTTGTTGAAGATGGAAAAGAAGCAACTTCAAGATGCCCTGGCAGTTGGGGAGAAGTGGATGAAGGACAATGGAATTAGGCAGTTGAGTGTAGCTGAGGTAGAAAAGATCAGGAAGAACAGAGTGTTTACGAAGTAAAAGGCGTTTAATTTTGGCTCACATGGTATCATTGTATCTGAGTAGACAGTGGACTTGGACATAGAACAGAGAGGTTAGGTTTGTGTTTTACATTGGCTCTTTACCTCTTGGATTAACCCATTTGTTTCAGAAAACAATACAATAATAAAAAATGAAATTGTTTTGTTTATTCTTAAGCACCGCTTGTTATTAATTGTAAATGCAGATTGAAACTTGTTGAGGTATATTACTAACTTTGTTGTATGCAGCAGATTGATTGTTTTCTGTCTGCTGCTGCCTAAATCAGGTTGTTGTAGATCATCAACAGACAACAGCATTGCTAAGTTTGTTCTGTTTCAATCTCCTTTTTCTTCTATCAATGATAATCCTGTTTAGCTTTGACCCTTTTTTTTTTGATTGTCTAATGGTCTTGGAATGCCCTGAACCCATTGCTGAATCACCGGTTAATGTCCTAATCCTTTTATTATATTATATTTATAGGTTAGACAGTATTTACCTTTTCATGAATCAACACTCTTACTCCTAAACCAGAAAGGCAAAGTTTACCATTAAGATTATACAAATTCTTTTACTAGTGTAATAAATAAACCCAAATTGAATGCTTTTGCGGTTGACTAAACCCAAGTGCTTAATCCTTGATAGCAGAATCTTATCACATGGATTAACTCTTTTCTATTATTCTTTTTTTTTGGAATTGGGGAAAGGGGATTCAAACAAACACTGTTCTCTAAAGCGTCAATTAGTCAGGGTTGCATGAAAACTATTGATTTCTGTCAAAAGCAAGTTGTTAGACCGAAAAGGGGGATTGTTTCTTCTTTTTTCTTTTCTGGTTTTAGGCTTTCAACTCAATAAAAAGAAGGGCTAGTACACCCTAGCAAATTGGCCTTTTGACTCATTAAACAAGGGTAAAAGAAAAAGTAAGATTAATCTATTAATTTGAAAGAAAAGTCAACAACTGATCGATTGAAACCCAAATCTAATAATTTGCTTCGCAAGTCTAATTAATTTCAGCACTTAATTGATATGGAAATTTAAAATTCTAGCGTCTAGTGATTAGAATCTTTTTGCAAGAGTCATCTTTCTTTCACTAAGTGGTGCCAAAGGCATCTGTGTAGGTCCAAAAGATACCTCCTCAAAAAGTACAATTTGATATTCAAATTGTCGGTGAAATAACTGTTTATTCAAGACATGCATCTCCTGGAGAAAATCTCTGCAAATAACCAAGTTAGAAAACATTGGAAGTCACAAAAGGGGAAATCAGAAATCCCTCACTATCCCTAATGAAGATAAAATCTCGTATGCACTGCTTACTGTAGAGAATCTTGTATAAGATTGATTATTTCATCACTCCTTTACAAGTGTTCAGTGATTGGATTTTACTAGCACAAGGTGCAGTCAATCGAGACTTCGTTGTATCTTGAGGCTATTAGATTAAACCCATTGCATAGCAAGATTGGTGGAGATGAAATAAGACTGAAAGAGAGTGGCAATTGCAGCATTTCTCGAAGTCATTTCTTACTTTTGTTTTTATGACTTTCCATGCACAAAATTCCTAAACAATCTTGAGGCTTATTTCTTTCACTGAAAATAACAAGTTAAAGAGTTCTTTAAAAGAGAAGGTTTAGTAAATTCGAGAAAACGAAACGTCCTGATGAGATTGAAAATACCTTCAGTGGTTTCAAACGATATATAATGAATATGGATAGCTTTATTGTTGTGTCCTTAATTATTGATAAATTACCATCATCATGGAAAGATTCCAAAAAAATCTGAGAACGTAAGAAAGAAAATTGTATTTCTTGAAGAGCTTATGAGATCATCTTCGAATTGAAGAAAAAGACCCCAAGGAACATGAGAAGAACAAGAGGCTCATATGTCAAAAGTTCATGTGATAAAAGGAAGCAAAGTCCAACAAAGCCACAAAAAAGAAAGAACTTTCTACCAAAACCTAGAAATTCAGGAAGAAAATTAGTCCATGTTTTCATTGTGGAAAAACACAAGGTCACTTAAAGAAAGACCACTAATTCTTGGAAAAGAAGAAATGCACTAGCAGGTGATGACTTGTATGGTTTTTTTTTTTAAATAATTGGGAGACGAGGGATTCGAATTTTATTTTTTTAAGCAAGAGGATAATGCACCAGCCAATGAACCAAATGCTGAAGTGCAGACGATGACTTGTATGGTTGATCCTTTTGATTTATGACATAATCATTTAGGATGTATTCACTATAATAAAATGCTTGTTATGTCTAAATCATAATTAATTTACAGTTTTGATAAAAATGAAGAAAAGTGTAAAACTTACATGCTTATTAGGATTACTAAAAATTCATTCCTTAAAGTTGAAAGACGTTCTAAAATGCTCAAGTTGGTACGTATATCATTAGCAGAATACACCTTCCATAGGAGAAAACAAATATTATGTGACTTTTTCTATGACTATTCTACATTTTGTTATGTTTATTTGCTGCACACAATAGATGAAGCATTAACCAAAAAAATTAAAGGTGTATAAAACCTACGTTGTAACTGCATTATGATACTAAAACCAAATGTTTAATAATAAATAGAGGAGGTGAATATTATGATCCTAATTATTTTGAATCCATTGGAATTATATATGAAACACATCATCATGCTGTCCTCAATCAAATGGTATGGTACAATGAAAAAAATAGTGTTAACTGAAATGGTTAATGCCATGTTATCAACTCTAGTTTAGGACAAGATTTTTGGGGTAAAGCATGCTGATAACATACCATATTTAAAACAGAGTTCTTAATAAAAGGAACAAAGTTACCCCATATGCCTTATGGAAGATAAGAAAATCCAATCTAAGTTATTTGAAGGTTTGGGAGTATAGAGCAATTTAAGGGTTCTAGAACTAAAAAGAAGCAAATCTAGAAAAAGAGGAATTGAGAGTATATTTATTGGACATGCACATAATAGTTTAAGGCATATAGATTCATCGTTATAAACCAAATGACTCAATTTCAATTAACATTGTGATTGAATTAAGGGATGCCATTTTTGAAGAAATAGATTTAAATCAAGTCCTTGGTCAAACGAAATTGCTCAAGAAAGTTCATATGAACTTGAGAAGAATTTTTCAGAAATTGAAGAGAATGAAGACCTTGTTCCTAGGAGAAAAAATGGAGTTAGAAAAGCAAAATCATATGAATGAGATTTCTATATGTTTCTTGTTGAAGGAACAAGGGAGGTTGCAAACAAACTTGTAAAATATTGTCTCAAATATGGGATTTGGTCCTATTATTTTTGATAAGGATATGAAGTCTTGCAATGTTGCATTTAGAAAAAAGCTATAAATGATGAAATGAACTTAATTATGGGTAATAGCGCTTGGATTCTTGTTAACTTACCTCCTAGTTGCAAACCAAGTGGATACAAATAGATATTTAAAATGAAAATGAAAATTGATGGGACTATAGACAAGTTTAAGACTACACTTGTAGCTAAGAGGATTTACACAAAAGCGTCAGAATGGTTATTTTGATACATATGCATTGGTAGCAAAAATTGTAATAATTAGAATGGTTGTTGCATTGACTTCAACATAAAATTGGTAACGTGTCAAATGGATATGAAAACCACATTCTTAAATGGAACAACTTGAAGGGAAGAAAATAAAGTGGGTAAATTAATTAAGTCTTTTTATGGAATAAGCAAACACCTAAACAATGACATTAAAAACTTGATGAGATCATTCAGGCTAATAGGTATCATATTAATGAATCCAATAAATATGGCTATAATAATTTCAAACAATAAAAAAAGTGCCATCATTTCCTTATATGTGGATGATATGTTAATTTTTGGTACAAATTTAGACCAAGTTGAAAGTACCAAAAGATTCTTATTTAGTAATTTTACAATGAAAGACATAGGCGTTGCAGATTTGATTTTGGGAATAAGAATATGTAGAGAAAATGATAAATTAATTATAATCTCACTATATTGGAAGATTCTCAAAAGGTTTAATCTAATTTATTGCGCAATAGTTGCAACATTTATGATCTATATGTGAAATTAGTATCAAATAAAGATATGCTAATTGCATAATTGAAAATGCATGAGTAATTGGATGTTTGGTTGTGTGCTATGACATTCACAAGGTTGGACATTACTTTTGTAGTTGGCATGCTTAGTAGGTATACAAGTAACCTAAAATAAATTGCATTAGGTTTTTATGTACATAGTATTAAAAATACTTAAAGAAAGCAATTGATTATGACATCACATATTGTGTAGAAGCTTTAGGATTAAAGGGGGAATATCGATGCAAGTTTGATAACTAATTTGGACGATCATTCATCCATAATTGGGTGAAATTTCATGATTGGTGGGATTGTTATATCTTGGGTTTCTAAAAGACAAACATGTATTATAGATCTTACTATGGATGTTGAATATCTACATTAGCCTTAATAGGTTATGAAGTGGATATATGTCTTACAAGCTAATCGCTAAGTTGTACAAAGATACATTCTTGTATATAAACATGTACATTTAATAAAAGACATTCTTTATTTTCACTTATTTATATGTGTTTTGTGTGTGTGTGTGTAGTTGACTAAGATGAAATAAAATTCATGGAATAATTTATGCTTTGCAAAAAGAATTATAAAATTCTATAATTATGAGATCTTTATTGCATCAAAGCAAAATTCTTAAAAGGTTTCTAGTATGTTTATCAAGAATTGGATATTAATAAAATAGATATACTAGCTCAATTTTATGCTCCTCACTTATCAAGTATGTAATCAATCTCATAGAATGAAGTATGAGGATACTTGAACTAACATGTAGGTGCTTGTTATATAAATAAGTTCACTAAACATGACTCACCATGAAAATTCCATATGATATAATCACTCAAGTTTCTATGGAATAAATTTTTATGTGGTAGTTGTGTAAGTGATCTATAGACTTAAGATCATCCAATTGCCTTATATGTGAATTATTATATTTTGATACTATCTAAAGTGGTCCTAATCAAGGATGCCTATAAAAGGATGATTGGGGAAATTACCACAAGCATACTAAAGTTTAAAAATTTCCAAACAAGAGACATAGCACACCAAAATCTACAAGCATAATAGCATCATGTGTCTGTGACAATGAACGAGGCTATTTGGATCAAGAAATTCATCATTAAACTAGGTAGGGTTCCTAGCATTGTTGACCCAATACCTTTGTATTGTGACAATAATAGAGCCTTTGTTGCAGTAAAGGAAACAAGCTCTAATCATAGATTCAAACATGTATTGAAGCAATATTTCCTATTTAGGAAGATTATACACATAAGTGATATAAAGATTGAATGTGTTCCCAAAGATGATATTCTAGAAGATCCATTCATT